GGTCGATATTTATTTTATGATCGAGAAATTAAATAAAAGTACTTAATTAACAGCTGCATCATAGAATTCAAATACGTTGTATGATGATGTAAAATAGATTAATATATATCGATTGTGGACGACTTACGATAGTGTATGAAAACTTTGATTTGAATAAGACAGATTTTGTTTTGGTACTATTTTTCTATTAATTATATGAATAGGAGTGAGAATGTTTAGTGTCATTCATAAACTTGTTCTTAGATGTGTTGATGCAACGTTGTGAGTGGATGGAAACTTTCTCAAATTTTTGATACCCAGTATCCAGCTGACGAAAGTTTTATAGTAACAATTTCTAATCGAACTTGTGTAGTACGATAGATTTTTTACACACCCACACCCACACCCTGTTCAGTTTCTGTGTAGTTTGACTGCTTTTTTCCATTCTTTTTACAACACTTAAAAATATGAATTCTATTGACAATAGAACTGTACATAGAAACACTAAAATATTCAGTAGACGAGTAGATGACGAATGATGACAAAGCAAAAAAATTCTTAATTCCATAAAATTTATTTCTCTACGATTGCAAGCAAATGATTTTTGTAGAAAAGGTCTACACTCGATCTTTCGACTATTCATTGTCAATAAACAAGAATTCGTTTTTTAAAAAAATATTTTGCATCTATCTGAAATTGAAAAATATATCCACACTCTAAGATTATAATGATGTAGAATTGGACAACATTCGATGTGTAATTGTATCTAAAAACATTAATACTAAATCAAAAAATCGAAATATACACATCTTAAGATAGCAAGTAGTATCAAACAAAATCAAGAATGTGAACATATCAAAGTCTAAATTAGCACCAACTAATAAAAAAGACTTGATTACAATAGATGATGATAGTAAGAAAAGAAGTTTTCATGTGGAACTTTCCTGGCCATTGACATGATCTTTGTCGAAGTCAGTTTCAATTGATTGTTGTGATAACATTACTTCTTTTTCAATCAATAATTGTTGGATATGGATCGGGGCCTTTGACATATCACCAATATCAACCATGATTTTAATAAATATTGTATCATCGCGAACATATGGATTAGATTTTTGTTGGATCATCGCCAATAAAAACAATTTAGCTGCACCACTAGAAATATTAATTTCTGAGCTTAGTCTTCGCCAACTATTCGATTTAACATTTATGTGATTTTGCCATTCAAGAGAAACTGTAAAATCGTATAATTTGTTAGTCTATGCATTTGAACAAAAAACAGTGACGTAAGTGTACGTCTAGCAGTTGCATGCTCATTTAATTAAAGTCGAGCTCGTTTCTTGTAGTCAATCGATGATGAATAAAATGGAGGTGGATAAATTGATTCATTCACACTGTATATTTTGAAATGAAAACAAGTTATCGTTCTTCAAATCGAGTCTGACATTCAATATTTTTCATTGATGGGATATTTTACTTTTGCTACCTAGT